CTTCTGCTGATTAACAGTGAGAATTTTTTATTTATTATTTGCCTCGTTATATGCATGAATTCCATATTAAAGAACTTAGGGAAGATAAAGAGAGTAAGATTGGGTTTAGTGGGCGACCCTCCCGAACTCCGCACTGAAGTGTATAAATATTTAAAGTTTTAGAACGATGTTTTTAAGCAAACGAAGTACGACTTTTAAAATACTGTTTAATACTTTTTGGTACTTTCCGGTTTATCTTAATTCTATTAATTTTGGTCTTAATCCGATCTTTACGGGCCTGATGTACCAAATAACGCCGTGTTGGTCGAACTCGGTTCAATTGTACGTTTTATTATTTTATTATGTACGTTTTGTACGTGTACAATAAAAATACAGTTTTCAAAATTCATAATTCTGCATTCATAAAGAAAAGAGTAGGGCTAAGGAGACAACCCTTCCGACCTCCGCGCATTACCGTAAAATATGAAAAGTCGCTTTTAAGTCAACAAATAATTCGTTCGCTTTTTAGATTTTTTAGAGTAGTTTTTTTACTATATTCTGGTTTGTTTTATTACTAAGTGTGATAGTTGTAGTTGAAATTCGGTTTTTAATTACTATGATGCGCAAAATTTCACGCTTTAATTCCATTTTAATTTGCGTTTATTTTTACTAGGCTAGACAAATAAAAATTTAGCTTTTGTCTTGAAGTATGTATAATTTTATGGCCGGGAAAAGTCGAGACAAGGATATATTCAATAATTGTACAACATCAACAAAGTGAATTATAGAAGCCGTTATTACCTCGCTAAACGGTCTTTATTGTCCTTTTTAATGACTAGGAGGAGGAGAGTATTAAGTTGTAAATAATTTTATGCCTAATTGTTCAAAATTAGGATAGAAAGTGCCGTGGGGGTGCGTCAGGAAACAGGTAGGGCGGGAGCCGGCGGCTAATAGTGAGCTGCAACTTCCCCGGGGTTTTATTGGCTCGTAAAAGTGGTTTAGGTGTCCCTCTTATTAAAGAATACCCGGCAACCACGTCTGCAATTAACGCTGGAGCCTGTGGAAAAACGAAAATGGGGTGCGCCTTCTGAGGAGGGTTGCGGAAACCGCAAGACCGCCTTGCTTTCACGTTAATTCAGAATATTTTGTTCTTAAATTCTTCATATTTTTAATATCTTGTGTCTGTTTAAATTCCATGCCCATTGGATCGAGAATAACTTAACAAAACTGACATAAAATGAACTAACGTCTTTAACCAATGTGGGTGGGCTATTTTTATTAATTGATTTTATTAAATGTCCACATATTTCACTCGTACTTTTGTACGAGTTGTAGAGTCTGTAAAATTGGAGGAAACATTATTATCATTCCGTCATATTTAGTGGTCTGATTGACCAAATTCTTTCAATTAATTATCATTTTTATGTAAGGTTTTGGTTGAAATGAAAAAGTTAGTGTCACGAACAGGATTCGAACCCACGACCTTCGGTTCAATACGCCGCTGCTCTAACCACTTGAGATATCGTGACTCCACTCAGACACCGAATCCCCATCCCAACCTACAACCTTTCGAATTTTCCTCCTTTTTGCCATTTTTCATTTCAACCAAAACCTTATATAAAAATGTTAATGGGGTGTCCGAGTGGAGTCACGATAGCGCAAATGGTTGGAGCAGCGGTGTATTGAGCCGAAAGTCGTGGGTTCGAATCCCGCTCGTGACACTAACTTTTTCATTTCAATCAAACCTTTACAAAAAATGTTAATTAATTGAAATTATTATCATTAGTAGTTGTAGTGTAATATTCAAGTCCAAAAAATATGGGCAATTTATTAAAATAAGCTCGTACGGGTGAAATATGCCGATATCCACTAGGTTCGCCATTTTAGAATGCTTTTTTGAATTTTTATACAAATCGGCATGATTTATCTTACTTTAACAGACTGTCTTAGTTTAGTTGAAAATTTCATCGGATGTCAACATGTTTTTGTCGTTTTTTAGTTTCTTTGTAGTGAAGGTGAAGATAAAATTCTAGTACTAGTATAAAATTCTAATTAACATAATAGGCTAGTTTTAGAAAAACATGGAAATTTTCAGTTCAAGTCTTCGTCATGCTTGCTTATTACCGCTGTTTAGTTTATAAAATTTTATTTCACTGTCCATGAAATATCAAAAATTTAAGTGGATGTCTGCATAATTCACTCAAATTTGTGTGGCCGATGTCTACATGTTTCCCTCGTACTATCCCTTTTCCACGTTTTAGTAAATTCATTTATGTTTTAGTGGTCAATTGACCAAATTACTTCTTTCAATTAATTATTCTTTCTATGAAAGGTCTTGGTTGAGGTAAAAAAGTCAGTGTCACGAGCGGGATTCGAACCCACGACCTTCGGCTAAATACGCCCCTACTCTACCACTCGAGCTGTCGTGGCTTCGATACTCTCGAACACCGACTTTCCATCTCAACCTACAACCGTTCGAATTTTCTTTCTTTTTGCCATTTTCAAAGGGAAAATTCGAACGGTTGTAGGTTGAGGTGGAAAGTTGGTGCCCGAGAGGATCGAAGTCACGATAGCTCAAGTGGTAGAGTAGCGTATTTAGCCGAAGTTCGTGGGTTCGAATCCCGCTCGTGACGCTGACTTTTTTATCTCAACCAAGACCTTACGAGAATAATTAATTAAAGGTCTTAGTAAATGTTAAGTTAAATTATTAGAAATTCATTTATGGCGCTAGTATGTGAGCGAGGTAAGTCTAAGTGCATTCGGGGTATTTATTTTTATTAAAATCCAATGTGAGATAAACACGAAGCCATCCACCTGAAAACTGGTAACACTTGCCAGTTACACATACATTATGGAAAAAATCGATACTTATTATACAATAAGAATTAAATAGTAATAAAGCTATCGATACATTATTCATTAGAGAGTGCATGTTTTCTTTTCGTGCCACGTGGTAAAAAAGTTATTAATTTTTTAAACCTTAGGATTAAATACCGATGGGAAGATTTGGTCTAACAAATTATTAACGTTTGATTGGTTACCAACTGCAATTTAAAGTTGCAAAGTTTTGTTTGCTCTACTTCAGGCCAGTTTCAGCCCCAATTAATACTTTTAAGGTTGCGATTGTTCGTCCTATCAACTCGTCAGATATTGTTTGCAAATCGGCCTATGGTGCTGTACCTTTCCCAAAGCACCTACAAAGTGCAGAACTTGGGCACGGTTGAAAGTATGCAGTAGAAACAGAATTACTGTTTTCTTTCCGAAGTAAACTCGCTCATATGTTATTTGTGTTACGCTACATTAGCCTCCTCTCTATTTCTTACCCTTCGGCATTTATCAATCAATGGCCCACCCTATTACCAACAATAACACGCCTCCCCTACGATTTCTCTTCTCGGGTTGTTCAGAAGAAAGGAATTTCAGTTCCGTTCTTAAACAGCGGTCTTCTAGTTTCACCTTTCAAGAATGTATCGGCTTTTGGGGGATAAACACGTAAAATTAAATCGCCCTCTTGATTTATAAAGTCAGGGTCGGAAAACGGAGATCCACCGGGTTTGGGGGAGCCCGGCTTAAATTCGGTGGAAAAAACGACGCAAAGTGGAACTTATAAGCAAAGTTGATTCCCCGTCCTTCCATTAAGCACGATTTGCAAAAGGGTCCGACACAGGCTTGCACTCGTAAAGCACAAGTTCGGGATGGCCGGGGAAACTGCCCTCAGCGGTCTCGCACCGGGACGAGTTGTTTTCCCCCGGGAAACTTGTTCCGAAGGGGAGTGGGAAAAAAGGAAAGAGAAACTTTGTTCATTTTGTCAAGTATTCCAAATAAATATGTTTGCCCGGGGCTGATAAACTAAAAGGTTTCACCTTAAACACCCTGGGGTTGCGTTGCCTATTTCCAACCCCTTTCCTACTCTCTGTTGTTTTTATTCTAACAAAAGATTCCATTTTATGATGTTCTGAAGGTTAATTGCAAAATTTTATTCTTTAGTCTGGAGGAGGGTGATGAACCTGCACTTCCGTCGTTTCCAATCATGGTCCACCTATTCTGAACTACCCATCCACTGAGGAGGGTGATGAACCTTCATTTTGGTCGTTTTCGATCATGGTCCACCTATTCTGAGCTATTCGTCCACTGAGGTGGGTGATGAAACCGCATTTTGGTCATTTCCCATCATGGTCCACCTATTCTGAGCTATTCATCCACTGAGGTGGGTGACGAACCCGCATTTTGGTCGTTTTCGATCATGGTCCACCTATTCTGAGCTATTCATCCACTGAGGTGGGTGATGAACCTGCATTTTGGTCGTTTCCGATCATGGTCCACCTATTCTGAGCTATTCATCCACTGAGATTAGTGATGAACCTGCATTTTGGTCGTTTCTGATCATGGTCCACCTATTCTGAACTACCCATCCACTGAAGATGACGAACAGGCGAAACTCGTATGACAGACCATAACTGCAGGTCTGTACTGCCAAGGTTAAGCAGATCATAATGAATGAAACACCCAAAATACATTATATTACTTTTTGGCAAGAAACCCGAGCGTTTTGATTGTTTATCGAATCCTTCAAAAGGGTGAAAAGAAATGAGTGGTTAAGAAAAATAGACAACAGTTCGAAATGAATTGCGCCCTGCAATCCGTCGACAGGGTCATAAAAATAAGAGGGACGGGTCGTAAAAGTGGAACGCCATAATCATAAAATCTGGGCCCGCGGGGAAGAAAAGGCGGTAAACAGGGACGGAATTTCTTTCCGCCGGTTTTCCGGATGTCGAATTTGCATCGGCCTCTGTTTCCGGGCCGAACTTGACATCCTGTTTATCTGCAATAAAAGCACGAAGCCCAAAACAAAAACAAAAGCGTAAATTAAAAAAATAAAGTCCAACAATTTGATCGAAATGATCATTTTATCAAATAACTTACATAATTCAAGTCTTGACTATTCAATAAGTATTCCGAACTTCATTATCAGATATTGAATTTATATTAAAAATGTGTTAATTTTTTTTCCATTGTTTCAGGCTACCGATCCCATACCAGACGCCAATTGGCCACGGCCATCAGACGAGCATACCGACCCCCCTTTCTCTCCGTCACAATCAAGCAGGTAACAATCATAATAACAAGTAGAGATGGGTATCGAACCAAAAGTCATTCATATAGTTCATTCTTAGCGACAATACTCTCACTATAATAATAATAAAGTGGGAGGTTTATGTGCCGACAAACAGCTGAGGTCATCGGCGGCTCTTATTTTTCTCTTCTTTTAAACAGCAGCCATTTAAGCGTCTCAATCTGGTTGGTTACTGACTCTCTGATTTCAAATATATACTACGTGGATGTCCTAGAATGTCTGGTCAAATTCCCTCCCCCAGAGTACTCGATATTCCTCGGGGCGGGGTTATAAGAAACCCCTTCCTTTCGCGCTAATAAATTACTTTTACTCTCCAGACGTCACACACTCACCCCTACTCTCACTATAAATCTAGCGATTAGGCTCTGCACCTGTTAATTGTTTCTCGTCAGTGTCCCCTATTCAGAATGAGTCTTCTTGTATTAGGACAAAAATACAATGAGTGTAATTGTAAGTTATGCAAAATAGCCAGAAATTTCTCAGGTTTTGAGTAACATTTTTCTATCATTATGATTAATTATTCACGATTTGGACTTCAACAAATAACAATGACTTCATTTATAAGTAAACTACCTAAAAAGCCTCTAAATAAAAATAAGCCAAGAGATTTCAGCAAAATAAAATAAGCTTTTGTCGTAGAAATTGATCTAGTGTCAAGTTGTCTCTGATCGAATAGACAGTCTATAAATAATAATTTTATTTGTCCACACATTTTTTAATTAGTAATTCTTTTTATCTAAGTTCTTGGTTAAAATGAAAAAGTTAGTGTCACGAGCGGGATTTGAACCCACGACCTTCGGTTCAATACGCTGTTGCTTTGGCATCTTGAATATTGAGCCGAAGGTCGTGGGTTCGAATCCCGCTCGTGACACTAGCTTTTTCACCTCAACCTAGACATTAAATAAAAAGTATAATTAATTTAAATAATTAATATGTGCAATTATGATTACTAAATACAAATATGGTCTAATAATACTACTAATAATATTGATATAGCCTTCGTACACATCCAGACCTAAATATCTGAATATTTTGCAAGTTGTTACCAATTTTTAAATTTTCTGATAGATGCATATTGAAATTGAGGCTCCTACGAAAAATATAATATCAGATTCCTTAAAGCAAAAAACAAAAATTCACCGAAATTTAAACGATAGTTTAGTACGCAAATCTTCTAAGTTTTCATCACGTTTCATAAAATTGTATTGAAGTATTCAGCCTATTTTAAGTGCATCATCGGACAAAATAATCTTAAATATATCTGAAAATTTGCATAATTACGTTTTTTAAGAGATGGTTTTCAAATTGCTTTGCATACCAGATTAGCTTTTTTTTACCAATTTCAACAAACTTTGACGGAAAAGAGGTGAAAAAGCTAGTGTCACGAGTGGGTTTCGAACTCACGATCTTCGACTCAATATTCAAGTGGTTAAAGCAGTGGCGTATTGAGACGAAGGTCATGGGTTCGAATCCCGGTCGTGACACTAACTTTTTCATCTCAACCAAGACCTTAGGTAAATTATAATATTTTATAAAGGTGTCCAATTTTTAGTAGTCCTACATTATCTGAAAATCCTAGCCCACCTATTTATTCTTGTTTTTAATTTTATTAGGTATGTCATTAGTGTGTGTTTATTTTTGTTGTGATCGTATATTTCTTATAAAAATGGTTTTATTTCATTTAGAGTAATTGAATAGACAAACATCTAGCTAAAATTCACCAGTTTTAAGTAGTTTAATCCTGTCTGAACCGGGGTCCGTATATCTTCGCTTTTTGTCGCCTTCAATTCGGAAAAAATCATATCACAAACGAACATTTAGTGTTAGAATTAAATTTCCAGTCTAAATAATAAACTGGGTTTTTTGTTTGACAGATAACTGCATGTGGTATGCCTTGCCTTTGTTTCCTTTATAATTTTTAGCTGTTGGATTTTACAATTAACGAGATTTCGTCATTGTCTTCATACAGTTGTAAAGATTGAGCGTTAATTATTTTTATACGCCTTGGGACAATGCCATGCTTTGCTGCTTGTTTGTTTGAAAGAAATTAAATATGCAAACATAGCGAACAAGATTCATTATTAGAATTAGTTTCCAAATAAAAAAACATAATTCATAGTTTAGCTTAATTTTCTAATGGATTAAAATGGCCTGATCTGCAAGTTTTGTTTTTTTTTCTTCTCCAGAGTGAGATTGCTTTTTACATGACGAAACTTTACGGACAACAGACGGCTCACGTGGGCTTTATCCTGCCCTCCGCGCTTTCTCTCGGCGTCCGCGCGTACCGGTACTGACTCGCCTAGCACTAATAATTCAAATGGCTTCTGCTTACTGTCGGGCTATAAATCAAATTTAATTTTTATGATTTATGCCAAGGGGATAAATCTCTCTCGAAACGCCGTCCCAGCGCATATCGCTTTATTATCGGTATTCATAACCCCCTTGCATTTTATTTTTTTTCCTACGACGACCCATTCCGGTGATTTTACCTAGGAAAATATATCAAAATTTATATTGGTAAATTGTGAGCAGGAAATTATTACACCTTTTAATATAAATTTGGTATTAAATTCGACTGATGATCGCAGCATGATTGAATGATCGACATGCTGTTGAACAACTTGGAAAAAACGATCTTCAGTGAGGGCACAACAGAACGATAATTCTTTAAGTTTTTGCCGAGCTTTCGACGATTATATCGTCATCATCAGGGCCTATTTATTTTAGGAAAATATCGCAGTTAGAACATATTGTATCATTTTTAAAAAAGTCACTAATTTCGTGGTCCGCTTGACCGATTAATATAATACAATTAATTAAAAAATTAATGAAAAATGGCAAGAGGAGGGGGAAAATTCAAAAGGTGAGGTTGATATGGGAAGTTAGTGTCCGAGTGGATCGAGGTCACGATAGCTCAAGTGGTAGAGCAGCGGCGTATCAAACCGAAGATCGTGGGTTCGAATCCCGCTCGTGCCATTGACTTTTTTATCTCAAGTGAAAACCTTAATTAATTGTAAGATATTAATTGTGGTCAAGCGGACCACGAAATTAGTGAATTGAATAAGTTAAATCCGATTATTTTTTAGTTGGTTATAGTTTAGTTTTTAGTTAATATTAAATGTATTTTTGGAGCCTTCCCCGCAGTAAAAGTGATAGTTGAGGGCTCCGATTTTTTGAAATTTCTACAGTTTTAATAAAATTTATATTATAATTATCTTAATTTACTATTTAAATATAACAATTTATTTATGTTAAACACCGGCTCCCTGAGGGTTTATATGGTTTAACTAATCTAATTGGGTTCGATGGGATATTTTTATAAATATTCCGCTATCGACCCAAGTCACGTACACAGCTCGAGTGGCGATGGGGATGCTATTTCACCATCAGCCCCTCCCCATTCACTCTAATAAATACACTCACTCACACAAAACTCAGAAACACAAAACACATACTTTGAAGGCTGTACGTAATTAAAAAAAAACCTTTCCACTAAAAAGCAAAACAGAGAACTCTGAAACTCGCTACCGTGTCCGAGAACCATTCTTAAATCCGGCGACATGCCTACTCGCTTTCTGTATGGAGCCAAGGCCGGACACTATTATGTGGGACACATCGAGCAACTTTTCTCTGCATGCAATGTTGTTATTCATACATACCGAGTGATTTATACTGTTTTTTTAAACCTTAAAATTATGAAAAAGTTCTTATTTTTTGTCAGGTGACGAATGGTAATTTTTCATTTTACGAGCTAAATATTCAGGGTGGGACCGCGGTATCCAAGTGGTTAGCTTGAGAGACTCTCGGCTCATAGACCCCGCGGTCGTGGGTTCGATTCCCACCGTCTTCTTTGATCTTTTTTTCTCGATACCCCCCCCCAATATGAATACACAAAATAGTCTCCTTGGCTAATATGCATCGATCATAACATCATGACTTTTTTATCTCAACTAAAAACCTTAATTAATTTTTTTAAAACTTGTAACGGAAAAGCCACCTGAGCCTCTCTGTTTCTCCCTTGTGGTAGAATTTAGCACTTTAATTTAAGTTATCTATATATAGTACAATTTAAAAAGAGTTTGATTAATCTTAACTGTGATATTCAAATGTACGTGAAAAAAGTAATTTTAGTTTAAAAAAAAAGAGGCATGTACTTATATGTATATTTTAACCTACATGCTATAACCTATACGACTATGCTGTGTTTTTAAATTTTATATTATGTTGTTTTTATTGTTTTTAATTAATTCCGTACTGTTAATGTTTAAATACTGAGCTTCACCTAATTTTAAATAATCTTATTATAAATGCAGTTTCTTATTTTCAAGATATATTTCAACACTCATCGAGTTAAAGTTAAAAATATATAATTGTTTTTTAATTTTGTTTTTAAATGATACAATATGTTCTAACTGCAATATTTTCCTAAAATAAATAGGCCCTGATGATGACGATATTAATCGTCAAAAGCTCGGCAAAAACTTAAAGAATTGTAACCTCACCGAAGATCCTTTTTTCCAAATAAGTTTGGTAATTATAACTATCCTGAAAGCCAGAAACAACAAACGATCCTGAAAAAATAGTAACATAATTAAATCATATGGTATCACATATATTTTTATTGTAATATAATCAGATAAGCCAAAGTTAATTAAGCTTCAAACTTTTTTTGTAATGAAGGTTAACCAAAGTATAGGAAACCATATTTACTTTCAAATTGTTGATATAAAAAACTTTAAAAACTTGGATTTAAACTTTAAAAAATCTTGTCTCAAACTTGTTTTAGAAGATTTTAATTTAAACAGACAAACATCACACATTTCTGTTTGTTTAAACAATTTTCAAATAATATGAAAGAATTTTCATAAGAAATCTTTGGTTTAATAGCTTATATATAGCAGAGATGCATGAGTTGTGCTTCATTAATACTTTTAAAAATCCATTTTTGTTTATTAATTTTTATCTTTATTGTTGTATAGTTTTTTGGGTTTTATGTATAGGTTGTGGTGGCAATAAAAAATCTCCTGGGCTGTATTAACCTAACCGGGTATTAAGGACTCCCATGGCCTACCAACCCACATATAAGCTTGATGATGAGATGTAGCTCTTTTTCTATCTTGTATTAGTATTCTACATAGTTTACAACGCCAAAAATTACACCTTTCCCGACCACAAGGGTCTGAGATTCAAACGGAGCACCGATTTTCTCCAGGATGTGAATCTGGTTGGACAGCCTTCTGCTAGATACCAGCACACAGCAAACAACCGTTTTTCCCTCTGAAGAAATTCAGATGAAGAGTCAACCATTGTTTGGCTTAGCCTGCGGGTTAGCCCTGTCTACACGGGCAGAAAAAACATTTTTTTCCCATACTCGATGATCCCCACCAGGCCGGGTACCGTTCCATAAAAGTTTTTCTCACATGACCGTTCAGTCCGCCAAACGCCTTGACACGGATTTCAATTGCGCTTTTGATTTAATTTCTCATCTGAAGCGAGGGACGGAGCATAGGGTCCGTCCAGCTCCGCTTGATTTTGCCGGTCCGGAGGTGCACCCGGTGTAAATTTTCGAATCGGTCGTCGTTCGCGCCGATTTTCGTTTTTGACGTGTATTTATCGATATTTAAATAAAGTTGACGTGAATATGTGAATTAAGCCGAATTTACCTCTCTAGGTACGTAAAATATCCTAATCTCAAGGAAATTGTTACTGTCACTAGAAAATTCTGAAATTCTAAATGCTTATTACTATTTTGTTTTCTATATTATGCAGTCTTACTTTTTGATATTATTCCAAATTTTTAAGCTGTAATTTTAAACATTTATCCGAAAACTTTATGATATTTGATCTTTTTTGTTTTAATTGGAAAATGGGTGAAAAATTATGCATTGCTATTTTTTAACGTTTGCTCTAAAGAATTTCATAGCTGTTTCTTTTTGCCATTGTTTCAGGGCCACTGGGTAAGTTATAACTGTTATCAAAAAAATTGCTTTTCTTCTTATAGTAATGGTTTGGAATTTTGTATAATTAATGCATGAATAGGCTTCACCGTTTGGAAAAATCGTAAGTTGTTAGTTGTACTAACGTTCTTTTGGAAATATTTTCCGGGAAAAATCGTAAGTTGTTAGTTGCCCTATCGTTCTTTTGGTAATATTTTCCAGGGAAAATCGTAGGTTGTTAGTTGGCCTATCGCTCTTTTGAAAATATTTTCCGGGAAAAATCGTAGGTTGTTATTTGTCCTATCGTTCTTTTGAAAATATTTTCCTGGAAAAATCGTAAGTTGTTAGTTTTCCTATCGTTCTTTTGGAACTATTTTCCAGGAAAGATCGTAGGTTGTTAGTTGTCCTATCGTTCTTTTGAAAATATTTTCCGGGAAAAATCGTAAGTTGTTAGTTGTACTAACGTTCTTTTGGATATATTTTCCAAGGTTTGTGAGTTCTTTTAGACGTTCGACCTTATTACACTTTTTTTCCCAAGTGTGTCCTAAAAATTTGAGGGCTCGTTACATGTAATTTCAGTGATTTGTGAGTTTTATTAGACATTTGTGAGCTATGATTTTTACAATTGTTGCATTAATTTACAAACTCCATCTTTACTTGTTATTTGCCCTAAACCTTTGTGGGCTCATTCTTTTATTCCATGGAGTACAAACCAATAGAACAAATTATGAAAATAATAATAATGTTTACCGATTTTGTGGGTTATTTTTAATTTCAATTAATTAAGGTTTTTAGCTGAGATAAAAAAGTCAATGGCACGAGCGGGATTCGAACCCACGATCTTCGGCTATACGCCGCTGCTCTACCACTTGAGCTATCGTGACCTCGATCCACTCGGACACTAACTTCCCATCTCAACCCCACCTTTTGAATTTTCGAACCCACCTTTTCGAAAAATGGCAAAAAGGAGGGAAAATACGTACGTGTGTTTAAAAGTGAAATTTTCCTTAAAATTTTGAGTCACCATAAAAACAGCCTATCCCTGAAATTTGTCAACACCAATGATTACATTTTCTATTTTTCCCATGTTTAAATTGTTTTATTACATTTACTTGTGTCTTTTAATAAAATAAATTCTTACTTCTACGTGAATTCTAAAAAAAAGCCTGGTAAATATGGACAAAAATGTGCATAAACATACACATCATACACACAAACAGAGAGAGAGATTCTCTTGATTTAAATGTAGAAAAAAGTACAAACCTATAAAACAAATTATTGAAATAATATTAACAATAATTATTAATATGTCCTATGTATATTAACAATATTTAAAAAACGGACATACAACGCAGACACCAAAGACACAAAAAAACCGAAATGGTTGAACTGCAGTCGATTTGTCAGAGAGAAAGAAAAGCCCGTTTTTTTTCTTTTGCCTGAAAATGTATTTCAATAGAATTCATTTACATTTCCAGATGTTTTTACCATCTGGTCCGCCTATCCTCGCTTGTTTCGTGTTTTCAAAACTGAATGGGTTTTATAAAACAGTCAAGATTGATGTTGGCTGTAGTTTCATTAATTCTGTAATAATTACCACTTTATTTGATAAAAGAATTTATTAAACCTTTGTTTTTATAAATATTTTGAACATTTATTGTTCTCAGGTTTTGAAGAACAAAATAAAATTATTTTATTTGTAAAATACTTGATATTAATTATTTCTCCAATATAACATTATTTTAATTTTATAATATGTCTCTGATATTTCCATGTAAACTAATTATCAATAATGTCCAGAACAGCGTTTAGCGAGTGAATGTATTTATTAGTGTGATAGTAGCGCGTATGCTTGGGTGGGTCTGTGGTGGAATATCAAGTACACCATAAACCCACCAATCTAGGTTAGTATTTTAGACTCATTGTGCAAAAGTAAATTTTAATTGTACATAAAGTATGAATGTATTTATTAGCGTGAATGCGGGTTTTAACGGAATACGAGTACTCTGAAGCCCACACATTAGGCTAGGCAATGATTGAATGTCTGGGTATGAGAGATTTTAGATCCTTTTCACCACGAGTGGAAGGGCTAAAAATGTAGAAATAATGTCTCAGAAACGTAACCAGAAAGATCGCCAGACGTCCTACAGGGGAGCTATCTTATATTTGGGGAAAAAAGTTTATTTGTTATAAGCCGGTTAATTTTTACAATTAGTTCTCATAATTGTTGCAGGTGACCGGTCGGTTTTGAAATTGAAACAATTTTCTCTTACACCAATTGTGTGAAATGTTTCTAATTACTTCCGCTATACTAATTTAATTGGATACTTAAAAATATCAGCCAGGGAATGTTTTCACTTTTTTGATAGAACAAACCCTGGCAGGAATTGGCGAGATGGTGGTTTTCCGTCTTCCATGATTTATGGTTTCAAGGAATAACGTTAAATAGCGAGAATGCGCGGATCAAACAACATTAAATCGGCCATATTTCACTATTATAAATCATCAATTGTTATACAGAAGATTTTTTCCCCACATTGAATATTTGCTTTTTTTAAATAAAGAATCAATTGTTGAAATGTCAATGGACTTATGGCTTTTCAAGGTTTGTGAAGGGGTTTTTGTTCTGGCACACGTGTTCCCCCGAAGAAAGGATTTGTTATACCCTTCGCCCCGGATCAACCCCGATCTTTTAAAACCCACGAGCAGGTGTTACGCTGGACTTGCCAGCATTCATAATTTATTTTTATTTTTTTGCTGTTGTAGTCCACCCAGTCAGCTCGAGCCCCCTGAAATGCCCGTCGGCCAGCAGCTCCAGGTCGACCAGCCCGTCTCACTCCTTCATCCCGACGCCGAGGTCGGCACAAAGGTCTTCCCTCAATGAAAAACAACCTACGCCGACGTAAGTAATAAATATAGTCTCGACTTATATTTCAATTCGTTGACAATTTTTGACAAAGCAGGATTAACCACGTTGACAAAATTTTCCTCAAATGAGCAGTAACTGCTGATCACTGCAATCACAAATAGTTGACATTAGTCCAGTTTAGGTCAAGATTTCAAATTGTATTGACTGTGGTAAGATTATTTCCTTTTTGTATTATGTATATTACAGCTACTTATTTGATAATTAACTTAGAAAAATGTAAATCGTACTTTGTAATATTTGACCTAAGAATATGTGATTCTTTCTTACTGTCGTACTTCGAAACTCTTGCATGATTTTTGTGTATTTTTTATACTTACAAGGGGATGATCAGATTTGTGGGTCGCGGATTTGGACCGAACATTTTTTGGTGATTCTACACTCCAAAATATTTAACTCGTATCCTCCACTTCTTGGGCCCTGGTGCAAAAACAATTGAAAATATTAAAAAAACGGAAAATTTTAACTTTAAATTTTTTTCTACATCCGTGCCACACCACCCACACCCTTGTTAGTGTAATAATTTTGGTTTTGTTCTTTTTGAAGTTTGTTCAAAAAATTGTACATATTTTCTTCTTTCTAAGAATTTGTGGGGTCTTTTTTCCGTCATAATAGTCCAACGACGGTAGTTTCTTTTGGTATATGTTTTAAGAATTTGTGTGATGATAATTGGTGTAAGAATAAACAAAAAAAAGTGGGTTCATTCTTTTAGTAACTATTTACGGAATTTGAGGGCTGTGATTTGTGATTTGTTTCAATTATTGCATGAATTCGTAGACTCTATCTTTAGCTTAACATAAGACAGCTTGAAACATTCGTTGGTTGTTCGTTGTGTTAAGAATTCGTGGGCCAATTTTTGTCTGCCCTTTTTCATTGTTATTTGTGATCTTTACAATTCATAGTTGTTACAATTGATCGTTGTTACAAATTGTTAAAAGGATTTGTGTTTTTTTTTACACTTGTCATAACGATTTGTATAACTAATTATTATTTAGAGATCGTGAGATGCGGTCTGGTGTGACGTAGGTTTAGAAAAACAATTTCTTTCTTGTGCCAACGTTTCAATCATTATTGAGATCATCTTCAGGGCATGGGATTTATAAGCACTTGCAAGATGTAAAAATGAATTTATACAATGGTACAAATTTTTTGTTTTGTATTTGTTCAAAGTGTGTGTTTTCTGTGAAGATGTGTCACTGTTGTGTGTCGTGAGTGCCAGTGTTAATATTGTTATTTTATGTATTATGTATAAATGTTGTGGTTTATACGTTGGATTTTGAAGGTGTGGGGAATTAAGTAGGGATAGAAATACATTTTTCTGTGAGGACCTGTATCACACCAGACCGCATCTGACTATCTCTAAATAATCATTAATTAACGGTCACTAAATACCACACACAGATTTGTAGAACGTTCTTTTTTTAATGGTTTCCATGAATTTTTGGGTTCTCTTAGACATTTGACCTAAAAATTGATTGCACCCATATTTAATCGTCTTATATCCTAACAAATTTTGGGTTCGTTGTTCTTTTTAATTGATTAGTAGAATTAATTACGGTCTTTTTTAGTTTTATTTGTTTTAAAAACTTGTGAGATCGTTCTTTTTGATATTGGTTTGGCGGGTTGTTACTTGTGGGAATTTGTGGGTTATTGGGTTGTTTTTAATATCGTTGTGAGAAAATTACTGAGCGCTTAATGTCAAGTCAAATTGATTAGGTTTTTTTGTGTGTTTGTTGGTTTGTTATAGTAATTTGTGGGTTGTTATTTTTGAGAATCTGTAGGTTTTTTTTAATATTGTCGCGAGAAAATTACTGAGCGCATAATGTCAAGTCAAATTGATTAGGGGTTGTTTTTTGTTTTTTTCTTATAGTGATTTGTGGTTTTTTTTTTAAGTATTGTTGCGAGAATATTACTAAGCGCTTAATGTCAAGTCAAATTGATTAGGTTTTTTTTTGTGTGTTTGTTGATTTGTTATAGTAATTTGTGGGTTATTATTTTTGAGAATTTATGGGTTATTGGGTTGTTGGGAGAAGATTACTGAGCTCTTAATGTCAAGTCAAATTGATTAGGGTTTTTGTTTGTGTGTGTTTGTTGGGTTTCATAGTAATTTGTGGGTTGTTATTTTTGAGGATCTGTAGGTTATTGGGTTATTTTTAATATTGTTGCGAGAAAATTACGGAGCGCTTAATGTCAAGATTTTTTTATTGAAATTGATTCAAATTGATTTTTTTCATTGTTGGTTTGCTATAGTTATTTGTGGTTGTTATTTTTGAATTCAATTGCTGGTTACAATTTTGTACATAGTTACTTTTAGTAGTTAATAAAAAAAAGTGAAGTGTTGAACCGGAGTAGCCCCCGTTGAGTTGCTCGGACTGACATTCCATCTTTGCTTTGACCAGTGCACTCAGCCCGGCGTCCTCAAGGATCGTCTTTCGACTCCTTTCCCGTAAAGAACGCCTGCGACAGAGGCTGTGACAATTATATCACGACAATTTCTGTTCAACGGTCCGGGGAACTTCCCCAAGGCGATATCGGCCGACTAGCGACCCCGTCTGTTGCCTCGATGAGTCAGACTCGGCCCAACACCTATTCGCCAGACACAGCACGGCCCCTCTAGCTCGACACCAGACGGTTTAGAACCGTGACGGGAAGCTCATATTCATCAACGTTTTTCAATTGTATACACTACTTTTCCTGTCGATTTTTTTACACATTATTACTAATGCTTTCTCAATTTAATGTTTTTCATATTTTAAACTTAAAATATTTGGAAATTTTAGTCGGATTTTGTATGTGTTTATTGCATCTGTAGATACTTAGCTTGAACTGTAAAATGTCGTAGCTGGTCACTTTAACATCAAAAACCATCCTTTTTAAGAAATATATCACAGGTAAGGATACGAAAAGCCCTCCCACATTTTATTTCAAAATTATCCTCCTTCACTTTTTAAAACTTAATAAAACAGTTTTTTGCAATATTGACTGATTATAGTGCTGTTAAAAACTGTCATGCTACAAATTACTGTTTTTAATTTGTAAAAATTGCTATCCACTACACTAAAATATGGCTTTTATCCTTAAAGTTTATTTATTTATTTTATTTTTGTTGAACAATGTTGAGCCCGTTTACAAGCAAAAAAAAATCAGCAGGCGTATTAAGTGAAACGGGTCTCGTCACTCAGGGCAAAAAAAGAGACGTGGGACGGAATTGTAGGCGCCCGACAACTTTTTCAAAGCCTTCAACGAGATAATTCATGCACGAAACGTCCAGTTAATCCCACACCGGTGGATCGTGTGCCGGGTCTCACTTCAGTTTTGTACAATTTCGTTTTTCAAACAGGACGCAGCGGGTCGGGACGACGCGGACCCAAGTGACGGCCCTCAGCAGCCCGTACAGCGCACCGAACAAGAACTCGATGCTCGACAAGCTCAAACTTTTCAACTCCAAGGATAAAGCGAAACCTGGTAAATATCAACTTTGTTCATTTCCCCTATAAAGCACGTTTTTCGTGATGCAAACCCGTCAATTGTATCCAGCTCTTATATTCATAAATTTTATATCCATTTATTTATTTTTTCTACAGTGATTGGAAGTGCAAAAAGAACTTCGAGTTCCAGTGGATTCAGTTCAGCAAGATCCGAAAGAAGTGATTCATCGACAAGCCTTTACTGTGAGAGCAAGCCAAGGTAAAAAAAATCCAGCCCTTCCAATAATAAATTAGTTAATTAATAATCTTAAAAATTATTAAAACCATTATATTTCGTAGCCTGATTGACCCAATAACTTCTTTCAATTAATTAATCTTCTTTATGTAAGGCATTGGTTGAAATGAAAAAGTATCACGAGTGGGATTCGAACTCCCATCGCCGAAGGTCGTGGGTTCGAATCCTGCTTATGACATTAACTTTTTCATTTCAACCAATGCCTTAGATAAAGAATAATTAATTAAAAATTATTATTTATTACCAATTGGAAACTCTTACAAAAAATCACCCCAAGAATTTCCAACTGGTAATAAACAATAATTTTTAATTAATTAATCTTTATGCAAGGTATTGGTTGAAATGAAAAAGTTAGTGTCATGAGCGAGATTCGAACCCATGACCTTCGGCTAAATACGCTGCTGCTCTACCGCTAAGGAGGGAAAATTCGAAGGGTAGGTTGAAGTTGGTGTCCAAATCCAAAAGGCACGATAGCTCAAGTGGTAGAGCAGCGGCGTATTTAGCCGAAGGTCGTGAGTTCCAATCCCTTTCGTGACACTAACTTTTTCATTTCAACCAATGCCTTACAAAAAGATTAATTACAATGCCTTACAAAAAATTACCCACACTTAAATTGCTAAAACTTTAAAATAACAAATAGTATTTTCTGATTCTTTGTGTGGTTTAATATATTTTTTTTCCTTTATCTTTATTAATCTAAACTCATTCCTAGGTACCACATAGCTAATTTAATTAAGCCTTTCCAAAGAGGCATAGCATACCCCAGGCCAAAATTTCAGTCTACAGTTTTTTGTTTTTTTCTATTTATTCTGAGGTCTTTGATTATTTAAAAACCCTTCCTGTCTTTAAGACTTAACCTGATGTATCATAATAGACCCAAATTTATGTCAGAACCAAGAAAAATGCATTCTCGTTTAGGAAATTGGCCCCTTTTCTAAGTGCCAATTTGCCTATTTCTTTAGATATATTTCCCTTCCTAATATGGCGTAGCATCACATCCTGGACCAAATTTCGCAGGTACATTTTTTTTAACTTTAAGGTATTCAGAAATTTTAAAACTTATCTGTCTACTTAGCCCTAGTGAATTCTGCACCTCAGACAAAAACTGGATAAGTGAAAAAACACAATTTTTCAAGATTGCAATTTTAGAGTTTGGACCTTGGGTACAAATTCAGTTTTTAGTAACTTTTTTTATTGTGGCCAAATTTCATCAAATTCAATGTAGTCATCCTAGTAAATAGGGTTATGAGTTATATTGAAATGTTACTGTAATTTTTCAAGATGTCTAAAAAGGCACATTGTGTTTTAAATGAAATGGTTTCTTTGACCTGTAAACCTTTAGTACTATGGACTTATCTCTTTTTGCAAAATTTGATTTATCCACTTTTCCCCAAGAATGCAGAATTGATCCTTGACTGTATTTTTTAGAGATGTCAGTTACCTTCGACTTCCACCACTCTATTCTACGTTTAACCAAGCTTGGCTTCTTGATGAAGAACAATGGTGTATAGATAAAAAAGATATGCTGAAGAGCTCAAGAAGTAAATTTGGTTATACATACAGTAGCAAGCTCAACTTCAACTTAATTCAATATTGAAGAAAGTGAGCAACCTAAAAGAGCAAGGAGGTCCAAGGCACAAAAAAATAACTACAAGAATTACAAAACAAAAAATAGTTATGCAATTGCTTTTCCTTTCTCTTGTAGCTACAATTACAAAACTGTGGCTGTACAAAAAAAAACTTTAAAAAAAGTGGTAGAACAAGAATGGGCTGGTAAACAGAAAAAGAAAATAGATGTCAGGTGAGACAAAGAATTTGGAAATAACAGAAAGAGGAGAACTAAAGAAAGAATAAAGCAAAACAAAATCCAAAATTAATAATTTTGTTGCAATCAAACATTTGCTCAATCCAAAGAAAGTTTATTTAGTTGTTATTGATATTCCAAAATTGTTCTACCCTAAGGAGGAAGTGTTTCAGTGTCAGTGTGCTGCCTCAGTATTGCCCGTTTATTTTCAGATGATAGTTCAATGCGCATTGGCCAGTAAGGAGGGTTATAATTCTCCTCAATTCCTAGCTAAGTGAATGATTTGTGCTTTCCTGTTTGAAATAATTATACAATTTTACTTTTTTTCTATTGTTTTAATCTGGCATTATTGAACATTGTATGCTTTTTCTTAACCTATTGGTCTAGCGCCACTTTCACTATACCGTGGTGCGATTTTGATTCGACGGGTGTGAGTGCTGCACCTGTAACTTAAAGCCTGCAAATTCATTTCCCTTTGCCTGTTTGTATTGGGTGTTGAGATCATACTTTTTGTATGTGATAATGTGCTTAAGAGTGCACCTTTCAATCTCTTCTTGAGTTAAACTTACACTCAGAGATGATTGCATCAAAGACATAACACACAGACACATTGAAAATGATAAATTTGCAAAATGTAAGCTAAAAATAGCTTTTCCTAATTTTAAAGCTTTGTGTTCTTCTCCCAAACAAAAACCTTTAACTCCTCAAAATTTCATTTATGTTGAATCTCCAGATTCACAAGACTATGGCTATATCAAATCCAGTTAAATAAAAAAACTGAAATCTATTTAAAATTGATTCATTTAAGAAGTGTGTATGTGCAAAACTATCAGCTGTAAGTCAGTGTAAGATTTCTCTGTGAGGTGATGAATCTATAATATTGGAATATTGGTCATTACGAATCTTTTTGATCTGCCTTTATATCTCTCCATACCATATAAGTCGGTGTTGATAATTTTCTTAATATTTTTCTTCCAAATGAACAAATTTTTTAGCAACACTCTTAATGACGGTCAATCAAATCAAATGTAGCTTGCAAAAGGCAAATGTAATTTGAAATTTCAAAAAAATATATTTAATAATTAGTATATACATTAAGCTAGTGGTAGTTGATAATGACAGTTAATTAAGGTTTTTAGTTGAGATGAAAAAAGCTAATGGCATGAGAGGGATTCGAACCCACGACCTTCGGCTAGATACGCTGCTGCTCTCCCACCTGAGCTATCGTGACCTCGATCCACTCGGACATCAACTCCCCATCTCAACCCCACCTTATGATTTTTCCCTCCTTTTGCCATTTTTCAAATGTCGTGTAATCAGTTTGAATTCTCGACGACAATTGAAATGGCGACGGAGAGCTTTAGTGAAATGTACTTCATTTTTAAATCATTAATTCACTACTTTTGTGGTCCGCTTGACCAATTAATACATGACAATTAATTAAGGTTTTTAGTTGAGATGGGGAGTTGATGTCCGAGTGGATCGAGGTCATGATAGCTCAGGCGGTAGAGCAGTGGCGTAACTAGCCGAAGGTCGTCGGTTCGAATCCCTCTTGTGCCATTAGCTTTTTTTTCATCTCAACTAAAAATCTTAATTAATTGTCATGTATTAATTGGTCAAGCGGACCACGAAAGTAGTGAAGTAGTTGATAATTTTAACATTTTGGTGAAGTTTGCTAAGTTGTGAATCTATTTTCGTCTTCAATCATTCGAGCTCACACTTTTCTTTTTACTTTCATAATATAGAATTTGTTTACTTTCAATGAGGTTATGTTTCCTGGGAACCTGTTGGTATATCTGGTTTGTAGGATTTTCATCATGCTAATGTCCTCTACCACCAGATACTCTTATCTACCACAGTTTGCCTTCGGCTATCTTTTTTTTCTGGCTGAAAACTTTGCGATATTCTCCCAACTCACTTCATAATAATTTTTTGGGTACTAGGTTAAGTACCACCATCGTTGTGGCATCCCTCATTTCCGCTTAGCTTGTTGAATTTTTATTTCCACGAATATTATCAATATCATCCTTATGATGCATGCTGTGGGTTTATTTATGAATATACATCGTTATTGTATATTCACTAATATGCCATCCTGGGGTTTATTGCCCTAGGTTTTATTTAATCTCTGGTAAATGGTTAATAATACCAAATTTAATAAATAGTGCTATAAAACACAAATACTTTATCAATAACTCCAGGCGTTCCAAAGGAGGGAAAATTCAAAAGGTGGGGTTGAGGTGGGAAGTCTGTGTTCGAGTGGATCGAAGTCACGATAGCTCAAGTGGTAGAGTAGTGGTGTATCTAATCGAAGGTCGTGGGTTCGAATCCCGCTCGAGACAGTGACTTTTTTATCCCAACTAAAACCCTTAATTAATTGAAAGTTTATCAATAACTTTTTGTTTTTAATAATTGGTTCTTTAAAAAAATACAAAATTCTTTAATGTTATTACAATAAACACCAAAAGATATTGCATTTATAGTCCTTCATACCAGGTAACCAAAAAAGTTAATGCGGTCTTTTATATGTTATTGTTTTAATACTGTAGTTTATCTTCATTCTCTTCATTCCCAGAAGCAAACTTTTTGAAGCACTTTTGGGCATTGCCCTCACTTATTGTTTCATCACCGAATGCAGTCCAAAATTTCAAATTATATGAACTGCCTCAGCCACACTAGTACAGGGCTTAAATTCATACTGTAAGCACACACAAATTGTTTTGAAGCAATAAGAAAGAAAATATTTTATAATTTACATCGAACTGTTCAAGTCACTTTTAATATATTATTGACCCATTATTCTGTTATTAATTTTGATTGTTTACAGACTTTAAGCCTTGATTGAGGAGTTAATTAAGCTTTTTTTATTTATATTTCAGCATAGAGAAAAAAGAGGTGAAGGAAGGTAGCCAGAATGACCTCAATAAAATCTCCAGGAAGAAGCCTGCGAAGATAGAGACGAAACTAGCGAAGCCGGCCAGGACAACGAGACCGTCTTCCGGGCCAAGCGCCACCCCTGCGAGCATGCAGAGCATTGGCAGAGTCCCGCCTCCCAGCAGCCTCATCGTGCCCTCGCCGAATCAGTCTTTCACTAGCCCAGCAAATCAGCAGAAGCCTGCACAATCAAAAATAATACAACCGCAGAAGAGGCCCGATAGTCCTACAACGAAAGAAAAAGAAGGCGTTCTTGTCGAACCAGCGAATCCACCTCCACCTCCTGCACCCTCTTCAAAAGTATATATTTTAAATTTATTTTGATCTTGTGTAGTAATAATAAATTGATATAATTATTTATCAGGCAATAGATATTTTATATGTTTTAAAGAAAGCGTTTGAATTACTCGTATTTAATATTATTGTAAAAAAATGGAAATTCATATTCATTAATGAAATCAATTTAAAAATGAGACGACTTTATTTAGCTATGTTTGAATAACTAGAAGTATAAAAGAATTAAATTTTTGATTTTTTTATATTTTTGTTTCAGTCGATGGAGAGCCTAGCTAACATTAGCGAGCCATTAAGGGTTACAGGGGGTGGGACGTGCATCCCAAAAGCCGGTGGCATGGGTGGCATACCGAAACCAACAGCTATTGTCAAAGGTTTCATCAAACCGACCCACCCAGTGGCACCCATGCCTCCGGCGCCTGCCCCCGAGCCAATGTATGCCTCCATCGAGAAGGAAAAGGTATGCTATAGCTCGTCTGACAAATATAAAAAACAGCAGTTTCGTAATAGGAATAAATTTGAGAAGGTATTTCCTAATGAATTTTCGAATGGATTTTGTCTGGCATGCATCACCGCAATTTTGTTTTGGTTGTGTTTTGTTTAAATTTTTACTGCACAAACTGAAATTTCAATTGCTACTTACACTATCGCAACAGTTTGGTCATGACCATGGCATACAAAGCACTTCACAGGGAATACATTTTTGTAAAAATACTTGTTACATATTTCTTTAAAAAAATCTTATTTGCAACTTATAAATTACAATCCATACTTATTTTTACAAAAGAAAACTTTCAAATAAACCATACCAAATAAACATTATTTTTCTCAATAACTTTTTAAGTTTTTTTTTTTAAATTACCAATATAGAAATAAATTAATGTAAAATCATGATTACTTTCAGCTTCAAGCTGTCCTAGAGGTGAGCCATGAGCGGCAGAACAGCATCGAAGAAGCAGAAGAAGCTGTCGCTTCAATAAAACCAATGCAGCCACTTTTACCTGGCTACAATAAACGAACGATTGCCATATCACCTAGGACAATCCCAGCGAATAGAAATAGAGGTAATATTTAAACATATACAACGACAAATTCTAGCCTTAATTGCTTATTTACAGGATACAGACCTTTAGACACATACCCTAGAAGTAATACCGAAAGAAACTTTATCGAGTGCGATTACAGAAATCCGTCTTCCAATTCAGGTACTTTTTTGGTTTTTTGGCCGTGGTATTAAACATTTATAATACTAAATTTGTATTATTTCAGGGTACATGTCTGATGGTGAAGTTCTCCATTCTAGTAAAACTCTTGACATTGCTGACGGCTACATGTCAGAAGGCGGTGCATCACTATACCAAAAGATACAGTTACAAAAGTAAGATAATCTCATTTTAAAATTTTAAAATTTCTGCATGCGATAAAACCCAAAAGGAATTTTCAGATTCAGATTACTGGTGTATTGTAAGAACAAAATATTTAGTAACAAAAATCATATTAAAGATATGATGTTTGTTGATCGACCTGCAGGTAATCTATGTGGAGTTTCATCTTCATGGAGGTCATTAGACAGGTGAAGAAAGGAAAAGACTAATTGTTGGGTTCACCAAGCTTTCGGCAACTTATAGTGCCATCATCAGGGCCTATTTATTAAAAATTAAAAAATATAAAAATATATAAAAATAAATAATATACAATTAACAAAATAAAATAGCAATTAATTAAGGTTTTTAGTTGAAATGAAAAAAAGCTAATGGCACGAGAGGGATTCGAACCCACGACCTTCGGTTAGATACGCCGCTGCTCTACCACCTGAGCTATCATCTTCATCTCAACTAAAAACCTTAATTAATTGGTCAAGCGGACCACGAAAATCGTGAATTAATGATTTAAAATTGAAGTACATTTCACTAAAGCTCTCCGTCGCCATTGCAATTGTCGTCGAGAATCCAAACCGATTACACAACATTTGAAAAATGGCAAAAGGAGGGAAAACTCATAAGGTGGGGTTGAGATGGGGAGTTGATGTCTGAGTGGATCGAGGTCACGATAGCTCAGGTGGTATAGCAGCGGCGTATATAGCCGAAGGTCGTGGGTTCGAATCCCTCTCGTGCCATTAGTTTTTTTTCATCTCAACTAAAAACCTTAATTAATTATTATGTATTAATTGGTCAAGCGGACCCCGAAAATAGTGAATTAATGAAAAAATAAAATAGTGTACCTACTTTCCCAAGAGTGCAGAAAACGATTAACATGGTAAAACTATTGTAAAAACGTCTTGGGTTTAAGGTTATGAAGCACATGGCCAGCAAATTACATTTAACATGGTGATAACCTTAAACCCAAGACGTTTTTACAATAGCTTTACCATGTTCGTTTTCTGCACTCTTGGGAAAGTATGTACACTATTTTATTTGGTTAATTGTACATTATTTATTTTTATATTGTTTAATTTTTAATAAATAGGCCCTGATGATGCACTATAAGTTGCCAAAAGCTTGGTGAACCCAACAATTAGTCTTTTCCTTTCTTCACCTGTCTAATGACCTACTTAAAGACTGAAACACCACACAGATTAAAACTCATATTACTTTACTCTAGTATACAACAGATCAGACTCAATTGGTTAATTCTACAATATAATCGTAATAACGTTTGAATTTACACACGTATTACATAATACACATTGCAATACCTATACTCGCATGTTTTTAGGCCATCTTATGTACTATGAACATCATTAGCGTTATCAATCACAATGGTGATTAGTTTAGCATTTAACTTTTTTAACCTTGTGAAAAGTGAAAATCACATTTGCCATGTGAAGAGTAAGCTCGGGGCAGTTAGCAGCCCTACAAACGCCAACGCCAAGGCACATAGTAGGTGCTTGTCCTAGTGGGACATGTATCTCTCTTTCTTACTGTTAACATATCAGAGGAATGTGGGCATAAACCATTTATGTCATTTAAAGTGTTATGGAAAAGACCCCCCCCCCCATTAGCACCTCAAAGTACCCAGAAACCCACCCCATATAGCATTTCTGACAGGACCACTACCTTCCAAAGGGTAGCCACTAATTAAATAAACAATTAATTAGCTACAATGAAAATATAAATAGGTATCTGATTCGGGGTTTGTTTATGTTGCTTAAATTCAAGCTGATTTTGGTAAGCAAGTACAGGCCACATTGCTCAACAGAGGCAAACAGTAAGGCTCTCTTTTTGGAAGTATCCGGGTCAGTACAAAAGAATATGATTTTCGTCCACGATGGCTGGATACCACAATATATATTACGCAGGGCGGGCGACCAGGACCCGAGGGGTTAAAAGCCTAGGTAGGCCCGTACCCCATCCCTAAAAGGTCCGGGACCTGGTCGACTCACGAGTCCTGCATAAACCTTTTGGACCTAGTCACAAACCCCAAGATTTTGGACCATTTTATCTTGGGGAGTGTTTTGGTTATGTCCTCTCCTTCAAAAGTTTCAAATCTTTCCCTAGCATACCTATCACATTCTGCAAGGTAGTGTCGAGCCATTTCTTCCTTTGTTTCACAGAAGCGGCAGAAGGGGTCTGGTAGAGAACCCATTATGAAGAGGTGTCTTCTCAAGGGGCAATGGCCTGTTAGGATACCTATCAGCCTCCTAATTCCCCTCCTAGAGTTAGATAATAACCATTTCGCTTCTTTTGGTTTGATTTCCTTCAGCAACTCCTTCGATTGCCTGTGTCCGGGGGACATATTCCATTCTTTAAGGAGTTGTTTCATGCCCCAGCAACTAATACTCTCTTTCGCTGTGCTTATAGAGTGGGGCAATACTGGTTGTGGCCCGACAAACGCAGTATTTGATCTTTCTTTGTCCAGGCCGCCTCTTTATTGCCATAGTGCCCCTTATGAGCAGGTATCCATATGAGGGTTACCCTATTCTCGTCCCTAGTAGTTATCCTATTGATAAGTTCAACGGTTTCGTCTACCAGCCTAGATGTAGATAACTCTTTTTGTAATGACTTAAGACTGGCCTGACTGTCGGAAAAAATTCTAATATCTTTTCCCTTAGTATTATTATCCATGAGTGTTCTACAGCAAACATTGATGGCCCAGACCTCAGCCTAAAAGACTGAGGTGTTATTACCAAGAGGGGAGGAGATGCTGATTCCTAATTTGGGTATATGTATACCAGCACCGCTTCCCTTGTCCTTAATGAGTGAGCCATCGGTGAAGCAATCTATGCTATTATGGTCATCACACGCATTATAGTTATAATCACATGGAGTAACTACCTGAAAGTGTTTTTTCCCCAAAGGTGTTTTAACCTTTTTTTCGCTAACACTTAGTAGTTGGTTATTAACCTTACTCAGTAAATGTAGAATTTTCGAGTGTCCTATATTGTTTCCCTTATGATTCCAGCTGCCTTCACTAATTAATCTATAGCAGCTAGTTAGTGCTCTAACCTTGACCTCTATGTGTAGAGGTGTAGTATTGGTTATCATTTCTAGTGCTAGGGTAGGTGTAGTGGAGCTGGATACCACAGCTTGAACACTTTTACCCACAACTATATCATTATGTCATCCACAAATTGAGAGACTTTAGTGTTGGCGGTTACCAGTTGCGTGAGAAATACTGTGTTAATTGTTAATTAATGTTGGATATGGGAAATCTGGGTGATCATTGAAAATTAGGTGCTCTTGAAATATTGTAAAAAAAATTGTAAACTAACATGATATGCATGGTTATGTGAAAGTAAGAAAATGTAATAGAAAATTTCATGACTCATTAATGAAAATGTTAGAAACAAGTTGTTTTAAATGTGGCATTTTAAGATTCTAAATTGAAATAATTTAGATGCTATATATAACGTCATGGTAGCTCAAGTGGTTAGAGCCGTCGTGGGTTCGAATCACGCTCGTGACACTAGCTTTTTCATCTCTACTAAAACCTTAGATAAAAAGTATAATTAATTTTTAAAACACTACGTACAGTCTTTACATTATGAAGACGTAATTGATATTAACGCTGTAGACGGAATAATTAAGGATAAAATTAGTAGGTTATTAACGTTAAAGTACAAACATCATTGAGGACACTTCGTCAGATGTAGTTAAAAAGGAGGTGACAAGCTGTTTAAAATGCTAACAAAAAAAGCATATGATTTTATTCTTTGAAACAATTCCAGACAGTTGAAAAACCAACAAACACAAAAGGTACTCCAGTAAAATGGCGACTAGCTCGATGTACGTGGACGAAAACGTAGAGAACAGGGGCTGCAAAGGTAAGATGCCAGTTTTACGCCAAACACGCAGCGAGCGCAAGGTGCTTGGCGAGATCAAGAATGTTATACACACAAAGCAGGAAACAAAGACGACAGCCAACCCCCAAGAGGAGACGCCGATCCCGAAGAAAGTCGCCAGGGAGAACAATTTCCTCAACGTGACAGCCTACGTCAACGATATTTACAAGCATTTGAGGAGGATTGAGAAAAAACTGCTAGTGAGCGAGAACCACCTGGAAGGGCAGCAGATCACCGAGAAGACCAGGGCAGTCCTTGTCGACTGGCTGGTCAAGATCCAAAGCCATTTCCAACTGCTCCAGGAGACATTACAGCTCACCGTCCACATAATTGACAGCTACATCGAAAAGAGTAAATCCGTAACGAACAACAACGCTCAGTTGATTGGTCTGGCGGCGATCTTTCTGGCTTCCAAATACGAAGAGACGGACGCTTTAGAAGTAGCGGACCTTCTTTTCGTCTGCAATGAGGAGCTCCAGGAGCACGAGATCCTGAAGGCCGAGGGCGAAATTCTGAAGTGTCTCGACTACAACCTCGGGCACCCTGTGCCTTTGCACTTCATCAGGAGGTATTCGAGGGTGGCCGGAGCCACCCCTGCCGAACATTCTCTCGCAAAGTACATCTCGGACATGACCCTCCTCGACGCGGCTTTCTGTCACGTCAAGCCCTCGATGATCGCAGCGACGTCCGTCGTCCTCGCCTTCTGCGTCGCCCGAAACAAAATCCACCCGGAATTCTGGACGGTCGGCCTCATACATTTCTCCACCTATAAACTCTCCGACTTCTTCGATCTGATCCCGAAGATCGCCACCCTGATCGTAGATAGCTCCAGTAGTAAATTGCAGTCGATTAGAAGAAAGTATTCCAAGGCGCAGTCGTACTGCGTTAGTCTCATGCCTGGGGTACAGCCTGTAACTGGTATAATTAATCAGTTCTGTGAAAAGTCACATAGTATAATAAAATAATATATCGCAATAAAACAATATTAATATCTCGGGTTTTTTATTACTATGTCTTGGTATGGTAATGAGGATACTAGGAAGCGGGGTTTGTGCTCCCCAGGCACTGCAGCCTTCTGGCTTCTTGTACCTTCTTAGTTCTGTAAGCGGACGACGAGGCGGCGGCCGAATTATCTCTCGATATTCGCTTGTTTTTCTCTAAGCGACAAGAGAGGAGTCGGCGTAAGCGCGTCGCTACTTATTCTTGTGTAGGGGAAGGTAAGGTTCCAGAATTCAATAAACCAGAGAGCGTATTCAGTAACATTTATTGTACACAATTCTTTCTCTTAATCTTAAAAACCTCAGAATCTTACTTAATCTACAAGTCAGCCACAACTCTAAATCTGGGATGAGTCTATCAACTATGGGACTTACCCCAAACGATGCTCGCACGATCAGTGTCCACAGCATCTCTTCTCTCGACCTCTGACTTGGCCCGATTGGTCGCAACGGCTGGTCCTCGCTGGCTCTGGCTGGCTGAGTCCTCTTGTTGAATCCCAGAAGGAGTGTGGCTGCTTCTCTCCCGGTCCTTGGTCTTGACTGCCTGGGATGAGTCTCTGATTTCGACTGGCTGGGGGGTGAGTCTCGGATCTTGAGTCAGTGGGGCTGTCTCGGATCTTGACTGACTTTTGATTTTCCAGTCATCCCTTTTATACCGGGTCTCTCCCGGAGTAGGGGTGGAAGGAAACTCAAAAGTCCGAGGAGTTCTCACGCCGCGGATGGGCCGGCAAAGACGGCAATCTAGCACAGGGTTGACGTATTCCCAATTTACAATGTCCCCCGTTCTTACCTGTCTACCTGGGTAACCATTTCCAAGCTACATTTGCCAGATGTGTCACGTCGTTCCCGTCTGGGTCTGCCTCACACTTCGACGTTCTTACCTGTCTACCTGGGTAACCATTTCCAAGCTACATTTGTGTCACGTCGTCCCCATCTGGGCGGTTGCCCCTTCAAAGTACAACCTTTCTCCCTTTTCCTCGTTTACCTATTTTGTTCTTATTTTACAATTTTACTTATCGCTAAGACGGAGGCCGGCTTACAGTTCCTTAGTTCAGTGCAATAGACTCAATCCTTCTCCTTAGAAGTATTAGGTCATGGTCTGTCGCTGCTACCATTTGATTCCCTAGGTTTATTTCGTATTTAGGTTAAATCTCCATCGAGCTGTTGCTTCGCATTCATTAGATGATATGGGTGGCTGTTTCCTCCTCCTCATTACATAATCTGTAGATGGGATCATCGTTGTGTATGCTCATGTTGGGTATATGTTTTCTAAGATGTCAGTGACCGGTTAGTAGATCTACTCCTCTGATTCTAGCCCTCTTCAGTTGCAGCAGTGATTTTGCCAGTCTTGGTGAGGGTTGTTTCATCATCGCTAGAATTTATCCACTTCTGCTTTTACTTTGTTTGGATCCATTCTGCGATGGAGGATTCTATATTTGTTTTTGTTATCCCAAGTATAGGTTCAGGGCCAGTATGGTCTTGCAGATCCTCCTCTCGCCAGTCTGCCTGCTTTCTCGTTACTCAAAATTCTTCCGTGCCCTGTCACCCAAGATATCATCAGGTTGTTGTGTTTCCCAAGATTTTGGAGCTTTTGGATGCATTCACTAACTATTTTTGATGTGATTTTTTTACATGCTAATGTTTTAATGGCTACTTGGCTATCAGTTCTTATGAGGATTTTTTGTCAGTGTAACCTCTTTTAAGATTTTCCAGTGCACAAGCATTGATGGCAATTTCTGCTTGAAAGCCCGAAGTGAACATCCCTAATGAGTTTGATTGCTCATGTTTTGGGCTTGGACAAAAAATGCCCGATCCGGTTCCTTCGTTTGTTTTGGAGCCATCTGTACACATATTATTATATCTGATGCTCACCTGTGATCTTCCTCTCCCTTACAGACCGGTGAGACTTTCTAGGATGTAAAGAATGTTTCCGGGATTACTATGTCTTAATACAGTTGGATATTTTCAAGAAGTATCGTTTAACTATTTGTCATATCGCATTTTCATAAAACTTATGTCCGTTCAGGCATATAAAAACTTGTAAAAATCACACACGGCCTAATTTTGCCAGAAAAGTACTACAGCAGGCCAAAACCCTATCTTAAATTCCTCGAGTATTGAAATCAGATCCTTTAGAAAACCAATTAAAGGCATATATCTAAAACATGATATAAAACTGTCAGAAGATACAACTATGATTCGCTGGGTAGTTAATTTTTATTATTTAATAATTAAAGTCCATTCAGAACACCGGCTAATCAAAGGGCAGAACAGGGTTTAAGTGAAAAAACGTGTTTCATTAAGGCAGGCGTTTAGTCCTAATCGTTGGTAATGACTTTTGTTGGTCGAGCCCCGGAATGCATGAGCGCTTAATACAGGAAATTGTACTGATGATTCTCTGAAAAATTGGCTCGTCAATCGTACTGAAAAACAGGAAAGGGAAAATTGGTTGAAAAGCATGAACCTCTTTTTATACATAGACATTGTCATAACAGGGCTATAATGGTGAAAAGTGAGCTTTATCGACAAGTATAATTGAGCAATCAAGCAAGGAAAATTGTCATGTTAGCTGTACACTTAAAAATATGAACAAATAAGAGAGGAAAAATCTATCATAAAACTGTATGTAAAAGTAATAAAGTACACTGACAGGCAAAAATTCCACCCACTTGTAATCTATTGTATCTTTAATTATAATAACTTGATTTGTATATATTTGTATGTATTATTCAAAGTTTCACATTTTTTAACTTCAATAATTGAGTCTTAGTCTAAAAAAAGTTAATTGCTAAGGGAAATTAAAAAAAGGCGGACAGATAAAATTTGTAAATTTTGTTTTAGATTTTTAATTAGCATTTCAATATTGTGTATTTCCTCTTCGTGCCTTAATTACATCTCGAAGACGCCTCGGCATACTTTCTACCAGTCTGGAAATGTCTCTTTGCTGGAGGTGAGCCTATTCTTCACGAAGAGTACTTTCAAGATCTTGCAGTGTATCAGGAAGTGATGGACGTCCTCTTATTTGTCTTTTGAGGTTTTCCCATAAAGGTTAGATGGGGTTCAAGTCTAGACTTGACTCTTCTCATCCTCTAGAGAACGGGCTGGCCATGCTTTTGATGGTTTGTACTGTGCGGAAGTATGGACGGGGTTATCGTAATACCATTGTCATTGATTTCATCGAGGATAGGACGCGTGATGTTCCAAAATTTCATCGACATAGCGAATGGACGTCAAAGACCCTCCATGAACAACAACCAACTTTATGGGACTAGCCATTGAAATTCCCGCCCACACCATAACTGAGCTACATGGAAAAGGTTGGCTCTGGTTCATTTCGCCTTCTCCACACTCATTCACGCCCATCTGGACATCGTAGAGCAAATCTCATCTGTAAAAAGTACAGCAGACCAATAGCAGTGTTTTCGAACAAATAGGAAACGTAAACCACTGTGTTCTGGTCAATTTTGGTCCTCTTGCGGGGCGAAAAGTCATCAGACCATACTGATTTAATCTTCTTCAAGCATGCGTTCAGAAATTTGGACACCTCGAACTTGCTGGAGCTGATGAATCGTTGAACAACAGTAAAGCGCCGGTTTCGCAAAATTTTCAAAGTCAAAAAACGGTTATCCCTGGTTCTGTTAACCCCAGGGCGTCCAGAACCGGGCCTTCTATGGATCCAGTTTCTCAAAAACGTCAAACGGCGTCTCGCAGAGTTTCGTACGGGTATGGTATAAGGATACTAGGAAGCGAGGTTTGTGCTCCCCGGGCACTGCAGCCTTCTGGCTTATTCCTTCCTAGTTCCTTAGTTCAATGCAATAGACCAATCCTTCTCCTTAGAAGTATCAGGTCATTGTCTGTCACTGCTACAATTTGATTCCCTAAGTTTTTTTTGCATGTTAGGTTAAATCTCCATAGAGCTGTTGCTTTGCATTCGAAGATGATATGGGTGGTTGTTTCTTCCTCCTCATTACATAATCTGCAGATGGGATCATCGTTGTATGTACCCATGTTGTGTAGATGTTTACTCAGATGCCAGTATTTTCCAATTACAGCAGTGATTTTGCCAGTCTTGGTGGTGGTTGTTTCATCATACGTTTTCTGTGTTTATCCACTTCTCCTTTTGTTTTGTTTGTATCCATTTGCGATGGAGGATTCTATATTTGTTAACTCAAGTACAAGTTAGGGTCTTGGTTTCTTAAGGGACTCCAATGGCAATAGCCTGATGGAACGTCCATCATCAATAAGTCCCACACCACGCGCAACATCCTCAGCACTAAGTGGCATTTTTAAGCTTCAAAATTGAAATTAAGAAAACAAATATGAAAACGAATGTAAAATGTAAAGTTTACGTGAAAATTATAAACAGATACATTAAACAATGTAAATTCCCATCTGCGGATTGCATACTTGAAAAGTATCCCCAGGTAAGCCTGAAAAAAGTATAAAACATTTTTATACTTTTAATGTGAGACTGGACCGAAAAGTATTACAAAGACGAAAAAACAAATACAAAAAAGTTCGTACTTTTAAAACGTGGAAAACTTGGTAGATGAGAAGTGAAAGTACATACTGTTCTCACACTGAGCTTGAACATATTTTTAAGTCTGTTTTGTTTTTGCGTTGTCCATATTGCAAGATGCAAATTAGAAAAGTTAAACAATGCAGTTCTGTCCTTATTTGCATGAATTTGAAATTCAGAAGACAGTTCGTTTACGGATGAAATCCCTGCGGACATATGTGCCTAAAGATATGATTTTTCTTATCTTTATTTATTTTTTAATTTTTGGCCAATCACTTTTTTATTTGACAAATCATAGCTTTTCATTAAAAGCGAAAGCGTAGGGAACCGAGGGCGTGTCTGTATTGATTGTTCGAGTCACTGCCCTTTCCCTTGGTAGTCGCCTGCGACCCCTTCGGCACTCCATCTCTTTCACACCGGATCCCTTCTTCCCTGCATCTTACGCCGGCGTTTCCGCTCAAAGGTGTTCGGATGAC